AAAGTTGTAAATGTTTGAGTGAGTAAACTTTTGAAGATGGAGAAAGAAGATGAAACAATGGAGAATAATACATCATTGCTATATTCTCAAAGGTATGTTAGTTTCATTTTAAATAGTATTGCTAATGATGATCGAACACGGTACCACCAAAGAGTGCCATCAAAGGATGCCACCAAAGGATGTCATCAAGGTATGCCACCAATGGGTCCCACCAAGGGATACCACCAAAAGATGTCATCAAGGGGTGTCATCCAAAAGGTGTGATCCTATCGTGAACCAAGGGATGCGAGTGCATCTTGATCCAAGGGATGCAAGTGCATTGTGATCCAAGAGGTACGAACGTATCGTGATCCAAAAGGTACGAACATGTCGTGATCCAAGAGGTACGAATGTATCGCGACCCGAAAGGGTGCAAACGCGTCGGGACCGAAAGGGTGCGAACGCGTCGGGACCGAAAGGGTGCGAACGTGTCGGGACCGAAAGGGTGCAAACGGTTCGGGACCGAAAGGATGCGAACGGTTCGGGACCAAAAGGGTGCGAATGTTCGGGACCGAAAGGGTGCGAATGGTTCGGGTCCTAAAGGGTGCGAATGGTTCGGGATCGAAAGGGTGCGAATGGTTCGAGATCTAAAAGGTGCGAATGTACCATCACCGGAAAGGTGTGAATGTAATGTCACCGAAAAGGTGCGAACGTAACGTCACCGAAAGGGTGCGAACGTAACGTCACCGAAAGAGTGCGAATGTAACGTCTCCAAAAGGGTGTGAATGGGGTGCAAACGTAATGTTACCAAATGGGTACGAACATAATATCATTGATACTTATAAATGCAAGTAATTAGGGTTAAGGCCGAGCCATCATGAGTGGTAAACATATTGTTCATGGTCGGGTGCTATGGACTATGATCCATGATATGGATCGATGGCTCAAAAAGAAGTGTAAATGAAGTAGCCTTAAGATTTTATTGGACCTTGTAATAAGTATAAAATGTATACATATATTTGTATGGTAAAGAAAGCACCTAAGCATTAACATCAAATGTTTAATGAGATTGTCTTATCAAGTGGTTTGAGTTAAACTACTAGGATAAGTGTTTATATAACAAATTGATGAATTCAGTAATGGAATAATCATTTGCTTATATGTTGATGACATATTGATCTTTGGCACTAGCCATAGATAAGTAGAGTTTACAAA